ATATGAAGTTATGCTCAAAGATTTCAAGGAAAGAGACAATATGGTAACTACTTTTATGTCAGGATTATCTTGTGGTGAAACACTATTTTGCTTAAATGGTTATGTTTTGATCTGCGCTGACCTGCTGTTATGCCCTCTTTTATCTCAATCTCCATTTTATTATTTACTTTTTTTATCCTTTTAATTAAGGGAAAAATAAATTTAAAAATAGCAGGATATATTATAGTAACCCACTTTGACTTTCCATTATCTTGATTTAAAGCCCTGTATTGCTCTCACCATCTTGTTTTGACTGATGTTTCTCTATTCTGTTTTGCTTGATAGTACCAGGTTCGAAAGTTTAGGCATCAGCTGTGAAGATAGTGGGATTCATTATGACGCCCATTCTGGTTGACTATTATCTACTTTTGAAGACCTATGTCTCCAATGTTTTGGTTTTGTTGGTTTTGTTCTTTACTGTTTTGTTCAATTTTATTATAACTAATGATATAGGCAATTCTATTAGAGATAGAGGGAGGCATTATGGTAACCATTGTTGATCACCTAGTATTATGCTTTTACATTATCTATTATGTCCACCCTTTTGATTTGACTGACTGTTCTGTTATGTCACATTTGGTTCTACTCTCTTCCAAAAAAGTAATAAGAACTGTGGGAGCAACAAAACCCAAAATGTGTAATTGTCAATGTACAAAAGAGAGGAAAAGAAAGTGCTCTAAACGATATAACTGCATGTATATTTAAGTGTATAAGATAGATAATGATATTACTGAGTTTTGTTGGATCATTGAACAGAACTGTTTGCAGTCTCACTGTTGGAATGTCCACTTTATAAGCTTTAATTTTGTAACTTGAACAACTGTTTCTGAGATGACAAAATGTAATCCATTAACTAGTGATTTCCTACTGTTTATTTTTTTCTGTAAATCTGTATAACTTGTACCCTTTCTCTGCTTTTTTTTCCTCCTTAAATAAAATTTAAAAAAAAAAAAAAGAAAAGAAAACTCTTAAATGTATCTACCTATGCAAATGGTGCTACAGAGTACTTAGAACTTGATGAAAGAATATATAAAAATGCATGTGTCCAGGTTTCTAAGTATATTGTTAATATAGGCTGAAAGGAAATCTATATCAATCTTATGTACCATGTATTTGCACACTGAATGTTCTACACATAGTAAGTACTTAACAGATACATTATTCATAAATGTTTAAATTATACATTCCTAGGATACATTTTATAGGTCATATATGTTACATTTGCATTCAGAAAAAGTGAAATTGTGAATAAATTCACATTGATATCAATGTAAATTCTACCATTCTACCAATGGATAGAAGTAATTTGTTTCTCAAAGGCAGATTTTAACGTTTACCTTATTATAATTATTTATGATATCATTTTCTCATGACCCCATAGCTTCAATTTATAGGTATCCTTAAATAACACTTCAAAATTGAAGGTAGGATTTTACTTCATAACTACCTATCAGTGCTCACAAATTTGCATACATAATACATACCATCCTATATGATAGTATGTACGGTTATGGACTTAGTCCTATCATTTTCAGATATGTAATCAGGAAAATTATCAATTTCAGTTTTCACTTATGAAATATAGATAATAATATCTACCATATAAGGGTATTAGAATTAAACAAAAAAATTAAGTTACACTTAGTACCTAGTAAACATTGCATACATTTGGCTTTCTGTTCCACCTCTCCTAATGCTAGGGATCAATCCAGGCCCTCAATGTGCTAGGCAAGCACTCTACCACTTAGCTGTATTCCCAGCCTATAGCCCTTATTTTTACTGTGGTAACCTTAAAACTAATGTTATGTTGTTGTTTAGTTTCTGAACATTTTTGAAGTTTAAAAAAGGAGAAAATATTATCTTTTGAGATTGGTCAGAGAAAGATTTGATTTTGTCATAAGAAATTGACCCTTTTCTGTTTTTGTTTTAGGACAAGACTCCACAGCTCATACTAAGCAATCTTCCATGCTGAGTAAGTGGCCAACAGTTTTTCTTTTAGGCCTCCTTCATGAGGCCTATTTCCTGAATCCTATTTCCTGTGTTCTCCTTCCTGAGTTCTATTTTTGGAATCTAACTTCCTGTGTTCTCCTTCCGAGCTTCTAATTCCTGAATCCTACTTCCTATGTTCTCCTTCATGTGGCCTATTTCCTGAATCCTAATTCCTGTGTTCTACTTCCGGAATTCTATTTCCTGAATCTTACTTCCTGTGTTTCCTTCCTGAGTTCTATTTCCTGAATCCTACTTCCTGTGTTCTCCTTCATGAGGCCTATTTCCTGAATCCTACTTCCTGTGTTCTACTTCTGAAATTCTATTTCCTGAAACCTACTTCCTGTGTTCTTCTTCCAGACTTCTATTTCCTGAAACCTACTTCCTGTGTTCTTCTTCCAGAATTCTATTTCCTGAATCCTACTTCCTATGTTCTCCTTCCTGAGTTCTATTTCCTGAATCTTACTTCCTGTGTTCTCCATCCTGAGTTCTATTTCCTGAATCCTACTTCCTGTGTTCTACTTCCGGAATTCTATTTCCTAAATCCTACTTCCTGTGTTCTACTTTTGGAATTTTATTTCCTGAATCATACTTTTTGTGTTCTACTTCCTGACTTCTATTTCCTGAATCCTACTTCCTGTGTTCTCCTTCATGAGGCCTATTTTCTGAATCCTAATTCCTGTGTTCGACTTCCTGAGTTCTATTTCCAGAACCCTACTTCCTGTGTTCTCCTTCCTGAGTTCTATTTCCTGAATCCTACTTCCTGTGTTCTCCTTCATGAGCCCTATTTTCTGAATTCTAATTCCTGTGTTCTACTTCCTGAGTTGTATTTCCTGAATCCTACTTCCTGTGTTATCCTTCCTGTGTTCTATTTCCTCAATCTTACTTCCTGTGTTCTCCTTCCTGAGTTCTATTTCCTGAATCCTACTTCCTGTGTTCTATTTCCGGAATTCTATTTCCTGAATCTTACTTCCTGTGTTTTCCTTAATGAGTTATATTTCCTGAATCCTACTTCCTGTGTTCTACTTCCGGAATTCTATTTCTTAAATCCTACTTCCTGTGTTCTACTTCGGGAATACTATTTCCTGAATCCTACTTCCTGTGTTGTACTTCCTGAGTTCTATTTCCTGAATCCTACTTCCTGTGTTCTCCTTCCTGAGTTCTATTTCCTGAATCCTACTTCCTGTGTTCTACTTCCCGAGTTCTATTTCCTGAACCCTACTTCCTGTGTTCTCCTTCATGAGGCCTATTTCTTTTTTTTTTTTTTTTTCTTTTCATGAGGCCTATTTCCTGAATCCTACTTCCTTTGTTCTTCTTCCGGAATTCTATTTCCTGAATCCTACTTCCTGTATTCTACTTCCTGGGTGCGGGGGACTGAATCCAGGACTTCTCACAGTTTAGGCAAGGATTCTAGCATTATTCCTAGTCCTCCATTTTTATTTATATATTTCTAAACAATAATTTTAAGTGTATATGTATATTTAAAACATATATAAAATTTCATTATGAGTATATACTATATGCTTTCTATATTATGTGAGAATGTACAATGTGAAAAAATACACATATGCAAATACAAAATAAATAAAAATATATAGGTAAAAGCCATACATGGTGAATTCATTAGTCAATTTTGGTATCCTTTGACAAAATATATGAGAATAAAAACCTAGAGAAGGATAGATTCTCTGCAGTTTACAGTTACAAAGGTTTCAACTCATGATTGGTTGGTGACTTTTTTATGATTATTTTAAGGCAGAAACAAAATAAGAGGAGGTCATGATTTAGGAAAATTGCTCAACTCATGGCAGCCTGGAAGCAGAGGGAAAAGGGAAGATTCACACATGAAGAGGCTGGGAGCAGACAGTGTTCCCAAAGTTGAGCCCCCAGTATTGAGTTCCTTCAACTAGGCTCCATCTTGATTCTACAATCTCTAAAAAATCTCATCAAATTATGACCTCGTTGGTGGATTAATTCCCTGGTGAATTAGAGACTTGTGATCCAATCACTTTCCAAAAATCCATTCTCTGAATATGAACATCTATGAAAACATTTTAATCTAAACCAAAACACTAAATAACTCTCAGTTATATAAAATCTTTCAATCATTCAGTGAAAAAAAATAGTCTGTTGTGGCACTTGTGTTACAGATTTGCCACCATGGCTCTAAATGATGTTTTTAGTGTACTGAATAAAAGCTCCATGGAACTGATATTTTATCTTAATATACTTAGAATTACTGGAGGTGAACAGAAGAAGAGAAACATCCATGGATAACAATATGCTTTTCATTTTCCAGAACAAAGATAGCCACAAATTGATACTGCATGTTGTAATTATATCTAGATAGATGATAATTATTTACTGTGTCTGTAAAGGCATAACAATCCTACGCCTAAAGTTATACTATAAACCTACAGTGATAAAAACAGTATGATAACAGGAAATACACAACACAAATGTGGATCAGTGAAGCAGACTAGAAGATGCACAGGGTCAGGGATATATCTCAATAGTATAAGTAACTGCCTGTCACTGCAAGGGTCTGAGTTAGGAGTCACCATCCCAACCCCCTACAGGAAGTCACTGCAGTGAAGCATGCCTGCTTACTACATAACTCATTCCCCTGTTTGCTCCTAATTTAATCAATTTTACCTGCGCAATTAATCTTATAGGTTGATCACAGTTCTGTCCCACCTTATGCCCACCTTGCAAATTCTCATTTTTCCTCTCCTTTGACCCATCTAATCTCATGACTTAACTCAAGTCCCTGGAAAAGACAGAATCCTTGGCAACCCGCTCGGAACCCCTTCTGTCTCTTTTAGAAGAAGCGTTCTTTCTGTCAATAAACATATTCTGCTCTTAACCTCCGTTGTTTCTAAAACTCATTCTTCGATTTTAAAGAACACGACTCTACCGGATAGTAGGTTGGGAGTATCTTTCCCCTATATCAGTTTGACCCACATGGTACCCACCTTATGATTTTGCTCTAAAGAACTTCCTTTGAGAAGTGGATTCATTGGCCATACACTTTTGGGTTCCCTCTTGAGTCTCAGGAGCTATCTCGCTCTTAGTAAAGTTCGTACTCTTTAAATTCTGTTATTCCTTAGAATTCTTTCGCCAATTTGGGGAACATAAACTCAGTGCATCTGACATCCAGCAGGTTGGGAGCCACATTTACTTCCCCTTATATCAAAATGAGGAACTAGAAGCCGATTGTTATTTTAGACGGGCTAAAGTAAAAGCAGATACGCACAACTGCTTCCGGGTCCCTCAAGCCCAGACCCGAGAGCCAGCGCGCATGTCCGACCTGGCGCGCAGGCGCTAGAAGGAAAGGAAAGATTGAACCGCCAGCCGTAGTTTCCTTGATTTGTTTGCGGGCGTGGCTGGCCTGGGTTCCCGGAAGTAGTGTGTACGGGACTGTTCGGAACGGAATCTGTGTCTGGCAGCAGGCAGTGGTGCTGCCTGTTCGGTGACTGCTAGGGTTGCTAGACGACGCAAACTAGCTCTCGTCACTTCCTCAGCCCGCCGTCTGTCCACTTCTCAGGCCGGAACAAGGGGACCAGGAGCCGGGAGAGCTCAGAGTTGTCCTGCTAAGTCCAGGACAGCGGGAAAGCCGAACGGCGGGAGTCGGGGGCCACACCACCTGCAGGAAAGAACCCCAGCCGCGGCGGGAAGATGGCTGCAGACAAACCTGCAGGTGAGGCGGCGGGGACGCGCGGGGGCGGGCTAAACGGCGCGGCGGCGGCAGGGTCCGGGTGAGACGAGGCGGTGGGGACTGGAGGGCTCCTCAACTTTGGCTTGCATTTCTATCCCCTACCTCAGTGCTAACGGGAGTTGAGGCTTACAGGTCTGATCTACTCAGGTGCTATACAAATCCATGACTGACCGCCTTTGCCATGGTCCCCAGAAAAAACTAGCCTGAAACGCTTACTTGTATCTTGCCGCTTCACAGACTGCGATTTCCAATGGGATGGGCAGACCGAGGAAGTTCATCCCAGAACGCGCAGCTCCCATAGTGTTCTATAGCTCAGGCCGGTATTCTGTGCTGTTTGAAGCACTTGAGGCTCCCTCTGGTCAGTGATGAGCTGTGGAATTAACTTTGTGGCAACCGCGCATTTAAATAGGCGTGAAGCTAAAGTGCCTCATCTGTGTGCGCTTTCTGATAAATTTATTACCCGTTTATCCCCAGTTCCTCGGTATTAATTCCTTAGTCTGGGTGATACGTTATGGATTGTTTGCCTCATTTCTAGAATCTCCCACATTAAGGAATAAAATTCTTTCTAGCCTACTTCTAGGAATGACTGACACGTGAGTTGCAATTAATATTGTATGAGGAGGGGCTGGGGATTTAGCTCAGCAGCATAAGCGCCTGCCTTGCAAGCAGGTAGTTGTCAGTTCGATACCCGGTAGCGATAAAAAAGAGAAAGACAAATACATATATATATATATATATATATATATATAAAACCTGGAAGCCTCATACAATAAATATATATAAGGCTTCCAGGTTTTACCAGAAAGAATTAACGTGACAATTTAGAAGAGATCAACACACTTTTTACAATGAGAAGTTGAAAAGGAAAAAAGTTCATTGTGCTGTGAAGTTTATTGGATATTGATCTCAATGACAAATGAACTTCAATGTGAAATTAAAATGAGCCAATCCTCTTATACAAGTACAAAATAATAAATTATAGGAAGAAATCAGGGATGTAGCTAAATGATACATTGCTTGCCCAGGATTCAAGACGCCCTGTGAGTTGGAGCCTAACACTGCCCACACTCACACATACACACACACACTGATTAGAGAATATCTTCAGTAATCTGCTAAGAAGACAAAAGTTTTAGAAAATGAGAGTGCTATGGGATTTTAGATAATTTGGTCAGAGAGGCCCTCTGGTGAGCTGCTACTTGAACAGAGACCTGAGTAAAATAAAAGAGTCATGTAGAGGTTCAGGGATTTGGCTCAGAGGCCTAAATGACTGCCAGGTAAGTGCAAGGTCTCTAGTTCAGTTGAAGGTAGGGGGAGCCATGTAGAATGGGGAGAGGAGGATCAGAGGCTTGTCACAGGCAGGAAATAAACATGGTTTACCCACAATTGAACAAGGGAGCTAAATCTTTAGAACAGTGCCTTTGTTCCCAAAGTTTACCATTCCTCATTGCTAATTCCATTGCATTTGTTTGCCTGGAATCACCTTTGTAGATCTGCAAACAATCCAGTTTTTAAATCCTACCTCAGTTCTTTCTCTTATTTTTTCATTTGTTCATTCACAAAACTTGCGAGTAGCCACTGTCTTAGATGTTGAAGAAATGAATATGACACACTATTGAGGACCTGCTTTTAAGTCTGTTAGAGATAACAGACCTATCATAGTTGTAGTCCCATTTGGTAAGAGATGTACAGTATTTATATAGTTAAAAAATATGATCCAAAGTTTGTAAGAAACTTTTCTGTAGTAAAAAATCAATATAAAGTAGATGAATGTTAGTATGGTTCCCTCGAATCACTGCTCCTTCCCGTCTCCATTTCAACTAATGTAGTTCTTATCTTTATTTTCTGATAGGATTTATTTTACATCAAGTAGCCCTTTGTGAACATTTGTGTGACAGTGCATGTGTTGGGGGTCATTTTATGAACATTTGTGTGAGAGTGCATGTGTCATTTACATGGAAGTACATTTCCGGCCTTTTTTTTTAAATCTTTTTGACAGAGTTTCACAATGCAGTTCAGGGTTGTTTATTTTGTAGCTAGGCTGGCCTTGAACTCACAGTGATCTTCCTGATCCTCTTGCCACAGCCTCCCAAGTACTGGGATTACAAGCATGCACCATTACTCCCAGCTCCATCCCTTTTTTGAGACAGGGTTTCACTAAATTAGAAAGTTGGCCAGGGCAGCCTTCAATTTGCAATCCTCCTGCCTTTAGCCCTAAGTGCTGAAATCAAAGGTGTGTGCCACCATACCTAGCTAAGTAGCTTTTGACTACTACCTGGTTTATGAGCATCTTCAGTTTATTTCCAAGTGATTTTTTATACTCTTCACACCAGAAATGATTCCCTTTTTATGTATTGTCCTTTTGTGAGTTTACATTATAGTACCCTTCTTTCTCTTCTCCAACTATTTAGGATATACTTCACATGCTACTCTGAGCTCCTGAAGTCAAGGTTCGGATTATGGCCTTGCAGGGATTTAAGAAGACAGATGACCAAGGTGCTGGACATTTAGCTCAGTGGAAGAACATTACTTAGTGTGCTCAAGAGTTAAGGATCTAGCACTAAAAACAAAAAAAGAAAGGTAAACTACCTGATCTCTGTAGCTGTAGATGAGTTTAGGTCAAGCAAGACTGGAAGCCTAGAAAATACCAAACACTGTCAAATATTGTGATATTAATGTATTCAGTAAATTTTCACTTAACAACCTTGTTTGTCATTCACTGTTTTATTTTATTTTATTTTATTTTTGATACTGAGAATCAAACTCGTGACTTTTCACTTCTCAGCAGATGCTGTACCACTGAGCTATATTCCTGACTCCATCCACTACTTTAGAGAGTAGACTAGAGAAAAAAGACAAAGCAACTGTCTTAGTGGAGCTTACTGTGTAGTACAGAAGACGTAAACATGTAAATAAAATAAAAAGTATGATTTCAAGTTATGATAAGTACTCTGAAAAAAGAAAAATGAATGCTATGGTTTGGATATGGTTTGAGTGCTTCCCTCAAGGCTTATGTGTTGGAAACCTGATTTCCAAATTAGGATATTAAGATATGATATGGGGGGGGGGAGGTTGTAGCTCGGTGGTAAAGTGTGAGCTTATCACACATGAGAGTCTAGGTTTGATCCTGGTACCAAACAGAAGGGGTCCCGGAATCTTTGTGAGGTAGAGCCTAGTGGGACATGATCACATCATTGGGATATTGCCTAGGTAGGGACCTTAGCTGTTCTTGTGAGAGTCAGTTACAGAGAGCAAGCCTGGCCTTTCCCTGTCTGGCATCCTCTTTTGCTATGTGCTCTCTGCCTCACAGGTGTCCTGTCATACTGTCAAGAGGGCCCTGACCACACCGCATGAACTTTAGAAATCATGGGCTTTTCAGCCTCTAAAACTGAGCTAAATGACCTTCTTCTTTACAAAATACCTGGCCTCAGGCATTTTGTTATGGCAATGAAAAATGGACTGAAAGAATAGAAGAAAACTGAAAATAAGAACTCTAGTTTTAGATGGATTAGTTAGAGAGAGGCTCCTTTAAAGGTGACATTAGAATACAGACCCTAAATATGAAGAACCAGTCACCTGGCAGAAGAGTAATCCAGGTAGGAAAATGTGCAGAACCCGTGGAAAACATTTAAAGAACGTCAAGAAGATCCCTGAATAAAGCTCTCTGTGGACAGAGGTTTGTATCTGCATTAGTTGTACTGTAGCATCAGAGCCTAGAACAATGTCTGACATGTGCCAGGTTCTGTATACATAGTTATAGTGAGCTGAGTTCGCACAGCAGGAAGGAAAGGAAAACTTGTGGCGGGAGCTGCTATATGCTGGACTTTGTAGGCCATGAAGGAAGTGTGTTTCTAACTAATGGGAAGCCACTTGGGAGTTTTCAGCAAAGCTGTTATCCAGTGTTCTGATTTATATCTTAATGGAACCAGGTGAGAAAGGGTGACAAGTTAGGAGCATGGGTTTTGAAGTTTATCCTAGCTTGGTATTTGTGAACCTAGCCAAGTCTTAAGAACCACCTTTTTCTTTCTTTTCTGCTTCGCTTTGCCTCTTTCCTCTGCCTCTCTTTTCTCTCCCTCTCCCTCTCTTTCTTTCTTTTGCCTCATCTTTCCCATGTGTAGGATAAAAAAGATAATAGTGTCTGCCTAGCCTGTGATGCTGGAGAAAGCTAATCTAAGGCTTTGATTTTTTTTTTTTAATGCTAGGTGGTATTTAGGTTAGTGGTAAAATGGAGAGGAGAGGTAGATATGAAAAATTTTAAATAAAACTGGCAGACTTTGGTGATTGATTGGAAATACCAATAAACAGAAGAAAACCATGCTTCTTTAGACACGATCTTAGTCAAACTTTGCTTTTTTTATTTGTAAAATGGAAACCGTAGGAGCTTTCTAATATAGTTTCCTTACATATTTATAGTTTTATAGTTTGTGGGGATCAGCTGAGGTAAAGGGTATTTTAGCTAGGCAGAGTGGCTCACACCTGTATTCGGGAGGCTTAGGCAAGAGGTCCCCTATGAGTTTGAAGCCAACCTGAACTACTCATGTTCAAAGTCATCCTGAACTGCATAGTGAGTCCCAGTCTCAAAAGGAAGGGAGGTGTTTTAGGTGAACCTGAGTTTTAGCAGAACCCAGTTTTCCCTTGAAAAGTACAATTCTAGGATGCGAAAAGTGAAGATGAGAAGAGAAATGAAGATGTAATTATTTCATAACTGGTTCCTACTTCACTTTGCAAAATGAAGACAAATAGCAGGTCAGTTGCATGTGAGGTCTTTCTGGAAGGATTTTGAAGAGAAACTTAAAGAGTACCACACAGAAGAGAGAAAGGAGGAGTGACTTATCCATTCCTCTCATTTCCTCTTTTTTAATTAGTTAAGTTCATCCCATAGGAGCCTAATTTATTTCTGTCTCTGAACCATGTGGCATCTCAGTAATGGATCACCAAGCAGATTCCACACTCACAGTTATATTTCTTTTTTTCTTTTTTTT